TTTCAGCATAACAGAGCTCCCCCAAGCCTAGGATCGCCCCATCTTGCTTCTCAGAGGCCTCACGTTGTCTGTAATCCTGCCCTCTAAACCGTCTGAGTTTACCATTACGAAACGTTGCGCCACTCCTCTAAAAGTGATGCTCCCTCCAGGGTTGCATCCAACCTGCCCGGAGCTTTGGCCAAGACATTTCACACTTTCCCTTCATTTTCCTATTTCTTATTCCTTAACCATTCAGAAATGATCTAAATTCTCTGTGGGCTCCTTTTATGGTCATTCTTTAAAAAAGGGGCTTGCTCTTTCCTTAAACATTTCTGCCAATTCTGCAAATTTCCAAGTTCCCCCAGAAGAGCCTGAAATCCTCCCCTTGTTTCTTTGCAGACTGTTTTGATCCCATCCGACCGGTACTTGACCACTTACCCATCTCCCCCCACCCCAAAAAAAATTACAGCCAGAGGAAATCATCGGAGAGGATTACTTCAGCAAAGGTACCTGCATATTGTTGGACTCCAGTGAAAGTTGGGTGCAAGGTCTCTGCAACCGATGAGTTTTGGGCTAAAACAAGAGAGATTTTGTTTCTGTTTTTTTTTTCAAGGATTAGAGAAATGGCAAAAACAGGGGGAAGAAGAAAATGAAGGAGGGAAATCCAAACCAATGAGTTTGGAATTCCAACACTTTATGTTATTTTTTTTAAAGTCTTGAACAACAAAACACTGCAAATTAAAAATAACACAAACAAAACCAAAATAGAAATAGAAGCTAGGCGAAAACAAAAATGCACCCATCATTTGGGAGGATACAGAAATACCGTTGCTTTGTTAGGAACAGATACACAATTTTAAACATCCCTGTCTGATATTTCTCTCCAAAAGGATATTTGCAAAGATAGAGGTAATTACTATTCCTATTAGGAATTAACTTGTTGATACAATTTAAAACACTGAAGACCAAAGGTGAACAAAACAATCTTTAATTTAATTTTTTTTTCAAGATTATTTGCTACGCCGTTCATTTTTCAACCTGTACTTTAGCTTTATAGTGTTTTGCTATAGTCTAAAAGTGAACATTAACATTTTGATGCACTACACAGTTTTATGCATCTTGGGGAAAATGGACATTAAAGTGTATCCTGCCATTACTTATTAAAAAGACTGTTGTGTAATATTTCCAGTTTTTCCCAATCACTAACAACAAAAACAGGTAATTAAATGGAGACTCCCATCAAATGATGATTTGATTATTACCCCTCCAATACTTTTAAAAAGTCTTCGATTCGTATCATCCAATATCAAGGGGCAACGTTTTATGGCATCGCTCAAACTAACCTATGAGCCACACTTCTATTTAAAGACTTTTTGCTAAGAATAAAGGACAGGATTTATTGTCTTTGGACGCTATTTATCCCCTGTCCGGTCCGGTCCCCCTTAGCCGGCTCCCGCTTCATGGGCGCGAATGTCTGCGAACAAACATTCTCTGACCTCGCAGCGGCTCAGCCAATGGGATTCGCTCACCGGCTCGGTTCCGCCAACCCGCTTCTGCCTGG